ACCATTTCATTTTGATACAGTGACTCTGTGTTTTCCTTCCATCTTCTTTTGAAGCTTTCTGCATCATTCAGTAATTTCCGCAGAGAATCCTTCAATAACGAAAGTCGAAGCTTGAATTTTTTCTTCAGTTCCCCCAGCTTGAGAAATGTTGAGTGTGTTCTTCCTTTTGGTTTTCTGACTCCAGATCTTTGCACATTTTGTTGTAATATTTGGCTTTGTCTTCTCGAGCTAATCTTTGAAATTTTCTGTTCAGCTCTTGGACCTCCTCATTTCTTCCATTTATTTGCTTTCGGACCTATATGCAGGAGAGCAAATTTCAGTGTTTCTTCTGACATCCACTTTGATCTTTTCCTTGTTTCTTGTCTTCTTAAAGACTTCTTGCTTTCTTCCTGTATGATGTTCTTGATGTCATCTCACAACGTTTCTGGTCTTCGGTCTTTAGTGTTCAATGTATCAAATTTGCTCTTCAGATGATCTCTAAATTCAGGTGGGATAATATACAAGGTCATATTTTGGCTCCTGTGGACTTGTTTTCATTTTCTTCAGCTTTAGTTTGAATTTGCAAATGAGTACTTGATGATCTGTTCCACAATCTGCCTCTGGCCTTGTTTTGGCTGATAACATGGAGCTTTTCCATCATCTCTTTCCACAGATGTAGTCAATTTGATATCTATGTATTCCATTTGGCGAGGTCCTTGTGTATAGACTCTTATGCTGTCTAAAGAAGGTATTTGAAATGAATAAATCATTGATTTTGCAGAATTCTATTATGTGATCTCCAGCATCATTTCTATCACCACAAAAAATGGATTCAAGAACTAGTAGCAAATCTGAAGAACCTATTCTAAGAAAATTAATTTAACATAATAATTAAAAATTATTCTGAAAAGGAAATTCTAAGTCCAGATGGGTTCACTGGTGAATTCTATCAAACATTTAAAGGATATATAATGCCAACACTACACATAGTATTGCAGGAAATAGAAGAAGAGAGAGAACTTTTCAAAATGTGTTAGATGAGATCAAAGTTACCATGATATGAAAATCAAAGATATCACAAGAAAGAGAAGGCACAAAGTAATATCCCTCATGAACACTGATGCAAAAAATATTTAACATATTAGCAAACCAAATTCAATAACATATAAAATAAATTACATACCACCATCAAGTTTATCCCAGAAATGTAAGGTTAATTGATATTAATATATATAACATTAATAAAATAATGAACAAACATCATGTGATCAGCTTAACCACTAAAAACATGTAGCAAAATTCAACAATTCATGATAAAAGATCAACAAACCAGAAACAGAAAGAAATTTCTCAATTTTATAAAGGATTTCTATGAAAAACTTACCCACTAACATCAAACTTAATGGTAAAAGGTTGAAAGATTTCCCACTAAGATTGGAAACAAGCCAAGCATGTCTGCTCTCACTACATTTATTTGACATCATATTGGAAGTGCCAGGCAGTGCAATAAGGCAAGAAAAAGAAATGTGGGCTTAAAATGTCAAAAAAAAAAGTTATCTGTCTTGTTATGATCCACACAATCGAAAGCCTTTGAGTAGTCAATAAAGCACAGTTAAACAACTTTCTGATATTCTCTGCTGTCAGCCATGATCCATTGGACATCAGCAATGATATTCCTCGTGCCATGGTCTCTTCTGAATCTGGCTTGAACCTCTGGAAGTTATCTTTTAATGTATGCTTGCAGCCGTTTCTGTATTACCTTTAGTAAAACTTTACTTGCATGGGATATCAAAGATATTGTCCGATGATTTCAGCATTCCATTGAGTCACCTCTCATTGGAATGGGCACAAATACAGTTCTCTTCCAATCATTTGGCCAGATAGTTGTCTTCCAAATTTCTTGGCATAGATGAGTGAGTAACTCCAATGTCGCCTCACTTTGTTGAAAGATTTCAATTTTTATTTCATCAGTTCCTGGAGCCTTGTTCATTGCTAATTCCTTCCATGCACCTTGGACTTCCTCCTTCAGTATCATTGGCCCTTGATCATGGCTAAACATTAACCATTTCCTTTTGGTACAGTGACTGTGTATTCCTTCCATCTTCTCTTGATGCTTTCTGCATCATTCAATAATTTGCCCAGAGAATCCTTCAATAACGAAAGTCGAGACTTTTCAGTTCC